TCGTTTGCCCCCCTCCATCCCCCAAAACAATGTTGGACGTTTTATCCGTATTCTACGAATGCAGTCAACATTGAATGGTGGGGGAAAGGGGGAGGTTTTCTAAATTTACGATAATATTACGACATTTTGTCAAATAATTGGAAGTGTCGCAGATGTTTTGTCCAGGATTGTAGCTTATTCTTGTATTATTATATCGCGATAGAGCTAGGTTTACATGGCCCAATAAATAATAAAATAAAATTGAAATTTTGCTCCAGGGCCAACATGCCGAGGTCGAGCGTATTTATATTACAGCGGCGACGCCGGCGAGAGCCAGTGAACTATAAATGTCTGTATTGATGATCTAGTGTTTGTAGTGAAGTATATTTTTAATAGCAGAAATTTCTGTACTATAAATGACAGTGTAATCTGTATAGTCAGTAATGTTAGTTCGTATTGTTTCCGAGACGTTTTATATAATCTGTCATTCCAAGCTTTTGTCAAACTATTGGTATTTCTCACTTATGCAGTTATAGCGTTTCATTGATAAACTGTAAAATATTATATTAGTGAGAAATATTTAGATATCGGCCATAGTTCTGTTTGCAATTATTAAAGTCATTAGACAGCAGCTTCTGGAGCACGTGGCCAGCACGCAGTCGACTTGAACTCGTCCTGTTAAATCTGGAAATGATTTCGAATGTCAGGTGACAAAAATTTCTTGCAAGTTGTTTATTTTTGTTTCATTTCGATTTTCGAAGGCAGTTTATTTTGTTTTGTATTAAATGTACAACGGAAAATGGGTAGAAAATTGAATTAAAAGCAAAGAAAAAAGATCTGGATTAAAGCCACCATTCAAGGAATTAAGCCATGGAAAATTATCCATGCGAAAACAACAAAATTTACTGTCGTGGCTTGTAATATATAAAAACAAACGCCAAACAACTTCCTTTATATAGATGCATCAATCCTATTTGATACATTATGCAAATCAACATAAATCTTAATTATCATTTGTCATATCAACTTTGCACTATCCTTGGGATCTCTGAGTTTAAAAATAGCTTGCGCGCGAAATGTAAAGGTTTAAACGCTTTTAAGTTCACGGGCGATAAAATTGTCATGTGTTTTATCAATGGTCCAAATATCGGAAAAATTACGCAATTTTAAGTCCATTAAATAGCTGCTGAAACTTTTATTTTTCGGGACCAATGCTTATCACGCACGCTTAATTTATGCATTTACCTATTATGCATATTGTTGTTGCGAAAAAAGTAAGATAACAATACGCAAATTAGGGAAATGCACGAATTTAGCATGCGTGCTGGCAATTTGCTGCAAAAAATTAAAACTCAAAATGCGTTTAAAATTTTTAAATTTCGCGCGCTAGCTATTTTTAATGCCGCTACAAAAGACAGTCCCCCTGCTCTGGAAAGTTTATCTTTACGAAATTGTTTGTTACAATTACGAAATTGTTTGTTAATTGTACATTATAAGTACCCAAATAATGTATGTCTATAAAACAATTCATGAAATGAACGGATTAGTGAAATTGAGAGCCGTTTCAAACTTGTCTACTTTTTTAGCTATTATACTCAAATAAATTTTATTGTATTCAGGAAAGGTTAACTTTGATATAGGCATACAACCCAAAAAAAATAATTTTATTTACTATTACGTGAGGTCAGTCGCGAAGCCAGCCCGACAATTTGGTCATGCTATGCAAATTTCATATCATTATCTTTATTCATTTCTTTAGAAATTGATTGTTTTCACAGACTATGAACACAGAAATATTTGCATAGCATGACCAAATTGTCGGGCTGGCTTCGCCACTGCGTGAGATACAAATGTCTGAATTTGGCGCACGCTTTAAAAACGAATAAAAAATCGAGAAACATAGCTGATCAAATTTACATGAAAAGAATTGCCATTTTCCACAAAAATTAACTATTTCAATTTTAGCATTTCAACTGAACTTTAATTTCGGGTAATATCCTAGTATAAGTTAGCCTTTCGTGTTTCTTGTGAAGCGAAATAAGCATGAAACATTTAAAAACGTTCGAAATCATATTTGACGTCCTTTAGGAGTTCGTATTATAAAGTTGGTCTTCGTTCGCCTTTCGAATATGCCTCGATTAACAAAAGATCAACGAGTTTGGGTTTTATGGTTTCCCGTGCAAGACCATTGTACTGGTGAAAAAGGACATACTTTCTAAGACGAATGAATAAATTGGATAAATTGGTTATCCAACAATTATGTTTTTTGATAGGCAATTTTTTATGCAAAATTTTAACATTGTCAAATATGTTTATTCGATTTAAAACATCGACTGCTCAGTAAATGTTGCATGGACATTCAAATATTATCTATCAATATCTAAGTTAGCCCTTTCTGAATACAATAAAACTTGTTTGAATGCAATAGCTTTTATACTTTTTTACTTTTTTGGGGGACACCCGGTACACCCTGTAGAGATTGACTATTTTGGGTCAACCCGGGTTGGCGAGGTGTGAAGGCGTGAAAAGTTTACTCATTTCTTCATGTAAATCCGGGTTGGCTTGACCCGCGATCATGTAAGGTACGGTAAATTCCTGATTGTAAACTTTGCACCTAGCGTCATATAACATTTCAACATTTTGCGCGCGTATTTTTTCCATCTCTTTGTTTAGTACAGACATATAAAATCATACAGTATGTCAAGTAAAAACGGTCCAATACCAAAAGAAAAAAAGCTCAACCTGCGTTTCAGTGGTCATCTGAAATGTTTAGCACCTAATCGTTTCTCTGAAGGATTACAAAGTCTCGCGTTGGCGTTCGATGCCGAATATTTTGGTCCAGTAAATCTGCCAGTGCAAAATAGCGAGGAGCTATCAGAAAAGGAAGAAAACGCCTTTAAGGCAGACGTTGCTACGGCTACATCCCTAATAAAAAAGGGAGATAATCATATAAAATATATAAGCATCCAAAACTAAAAGGGATATAATCGTAAAAGGGATATAAGCTCAAAAATACACTTTGCTCCAGTCTGTTGCTCGGAATATTACCTGAGCCAGCCCGGGTTGAGAATTGCTGATCCGGGTTGGCAAAAATTGTCGTCAACCCGGGTTCATGTAAGCAGAATAAAAAAACCACCTGTGGCGTGCTGACCCGGGTTGCAAATCAGTACGGGCTCGTGTAAAGGGGGCCTAAATCAACCCCTGAATGTCATGTCAGATTCGACTCATGCTGTATCTATGTAGATTTGCACTACATTTAATTGCAGAGGAGGCGAAAGAGGTACTTGTCAAATATAACTAAGTTTGCGTATCCCACTACGCTTTGCAGCTTTTCCGATTGGAGCATTTCGCCCGCCAATCTCGTTGGTGGTCGACAACAAAGCCATGCGGGCTAGATAAAAATATAGGAATATCTTGAGAATATCAGAAATAGAATATTCTGAGTTTCTGAATATTCATGACAGTATATGGAACGAAATCTTTTATTGCTTAATAATTATGAATCTACCGCTGAAACTGTTCTACAAATTCTCCTGCTCTCCACTCCCTTGTCCCCGAGCCGGCGGCGCGAAGCGCCGTGCGAGGGTACTAATTCCGCACGGCTAATTATACCCGGGTATGTGAAAACATAGCGGAGTGCAAAGTTGTCCTCCATTTTGTTTATGTCATGGACGGTTTTCAACGTTATGCGCATGCGCGAGTACAAAATCTGTCTAAGTAAATTGCTGTTCATTTTGAAAGGACGTATTTTGCTGTTTTACAAGCAATTTTTTGTTTTAAATTTCGTCAAAAACTTTAAGAAAGTACGACACTTTTTTTCCCTCGATTTTAACTGGAATTAAGCCTGCAGTTTCATGAATTAGTGGCTGTTCAACCGTGAAACAAAGTTTGTATAATAATTGTTTTGATGTTTTGATGTTGATATCTTTGATAATTTAATCGTTGTTGTGCCGGTTTGGGTAAGTGTAAACATAAACGTTGTAAACAGCAATGGCATGCTGTACTTGCTTTGTGTTGTCGGTTTTATTCATATCTGCGAAATTTTTAAGCCATTCGTAACTCGATAATTCACAAAAATGCAAGCTGGTATGCATGAAATTGCAGTGAATGTTATCGAATGGCAATAGTCATCATTTTCCTAACACAGTATGTTTGGTAGTTTTTGTCCAGACCAACATTTCCTAACATTTCTGAGAATGTAGAGCATTCTTGCGCAAAAATACCTAGGGAGCTCTCATTTTCGTCTAGTTGTTTTACTAGTTCTTTATGTTTGGCTTTTTTCCGATTAACGTTGTTCTCGAGGTTTGTCTCATAACCAACAGTGAGCTCGACCACATAAAGAGAGCCATTTGATAACGATAGCAACAAATCTGGGCGATACGTATCACCAGTTGTTATTGAATATAATAATAATAATAATAATAATAATAATAATAATAATCTGTTTAATAAACCGAAATTCAGTAACAACTGAATTATACGGTATACGTAAAATAATATGTATAGATCTAATTACAAGAAATAGAATATAATAAAGGTAAACATACTAAGATTATAAAAATCAAACATATTTAACTGTTACAAAATTTCCAAAGCGGTCAGTGTTCGCGACAAATTTGTTAGTTGGTTGTGTTCTAAGATAATAATCTCCGAGCAATACATGCCAGTGGATTATAATCAACGTCCTCGTACTTTAGTTTAGTAAATTTTATACAAGAATTATCTCTACGGGTACTAAGAGCTTGCAATCCCGTGCAAATCAAAGCCCCTTCATAAGACGTGTCAGGATAAATTATTCGTAATGCCCGTTTTTGAATAGATCAATAACACCAGATAGATAAACCGTCAAAGATGACCATGCTGGAGAAGCGTACTCAATTCTCGATCTTATAAACGAGCAATAAATGTTGACACTTTGCTCCCGGCCAGTAAGAAAGGATTTAATCCATCTAATAATAGCCGGATGGACTTGCAGGTTTCTAAGTTCACCAATAATGAAATTGTGATCAACGAGATCGAACCTTTCCTAAAATCGGCAAAGAATAATCTTGCATAACAATGTCCTACGTCTAAACCAGCATGAATAAGATGCAGGAGGTAAACCAATGCCTGAGTGGTTGATTTCCTCGGCATAGCAAACTGTTTGGTATCCAATTTACTGCTTACTTCACCTAGCAACGAATCCAACGTAAAACCTTCCATCACTTTACCAATCTGGGACGTAAGAGATATTGGTCGTAAATCGTCCTCGATGGATCCTGGAGGAGATACTTTAGGGATGGGTATGACAAAGGCACGCTTTAATTGTTGTGGGAAATTTCCTTGTACCATTGAAGCATTGTAGATGTCAGTAACAACAAGTGCAAGTTCGAATGCAAAGGTCTTCAAAATCTTGTTGGGAATATCATCAGGACCTGGCGACTTAGTAACTTTAATATGGCGTAAGGTTGAATAAACTTTACCAGTATCAACAAGAAAGCGGTCAGGTACTTCCATCAGCTCGCCAGTGTCGTTGTGATCCAAAGGTTGAAAGTGCGAAGTGAGACCAACAAGAAAATTATTGTAAGACTCCGCAAGTTCCGACCAAGTTGGATTCACTTCGGATAGTAATTGGTTGTACCAACAATCTTGAGATGAGAGACCGCCCAATGTTTTGATTTCTCTCCACCATCTAGATGGATGTGTATTCTTTAATTGTATAACTGAATGAGAATAAAACTTACTTGGAGCTGCTTTGACATCACACTGAACTTTGCCTCGCCAGAATTTATAAACTTCTGAAGATTTGCCATGTTTATGCAAAGCGTTTTGACGTTTGTTAACAGCAATTTTAAGTGAGGAAGTCATCCAGGGTTTGTCCGACTGCCGAATTCTCGTTAACATAATTGGAAAAAAGGAATCAACCATTAACAAAATAGTTTCGATAAATTTTTCCAATTTCAATGCAGAGTCAGAGGTTTCAAAAACTTCTAACCAGTCATAGTTGGTAATCCATTGACCAAAAGATCTTACCCTGCTATCCCTTAAATCTCTTTTCCACTGACGACTATTATTATGTTTTTGTTTGCGATGAAGATACGGCTTGATTAGGATTGCATTATGGTCACTTGAACCAACTGGATGAAGTTGGGAACACGTGTACGCAAGGGCTTTCACATTAACTAAGCACCAGTCTAAAATAGAATTTTGTCTTGTTGGAACAGTAATTATCTGAGTCAGTCCAGAAATTCGTTTCAGGTGTTTATCATTAAACCCAGTGCTTGTAGGGTTGATATCTCCGTAACGATGACAACTGCATCAGGGTGACGACAGAGGAAAGAGTCTACATTAGATTGAATATGATTATATAATTCAGAGTTTTCTAGAGCGCCTGATGAAGTGGTATGATAAATCACTGCTAGGAGTATGACGGAAATTGACCTGGGCAGATATCTTGGTCTCACAGATAACCATAGGGATTCAACTAAAGGGTTTTCAAATTCTTTAATTCTCCTACATTTAATAGAACCTGATGTAAACGCATACACCCCCACCAGAAGTTACTGCACGATCGTTCCTAAATACGATAAAATTAGACAAGGACAAAGCAGAGTCAGGGATAGATTGCGACAACCAAGATTCTGTTAAGCAAATAAAGTCAACATCGTTAACATGAGCTACTATTGTCAATTCGTCAATCTTAGAAGCCAAGGGGCGAACATTTGCAATTAAAACAGTTGGCAACCTCGTTCCCAGGCTCTTTGCTCTTGGGAAGCAAAGACCCTGGTCGGAGCTGGTCACGTGACCCATTGAAAATTGATAGCCCAAGAGGGGGATGGAAAAGTCTCATATTACATGTTTCCACTTCCGCACTTCGATTGCAAGGAGTGGCCGTTCTGTACAATCATCTAATTCATCTTCAAGAATCATATATACCTCAAACTACTTGCTGAATTGGTTTCTGTTTGCTTTGAAATTATACAAACATGCTAAAATGTAGATTCTTATAGCAACAAAAAATTCAGGAAATCAAGCAACGAGAACGTATGGCTGTACGCTTTGAAATATTTTTATTTTCTCGGACTTCGCCGGTTCGGGCGTAGTTTCATTTCACGCGTACGTTTCTGTTCTGGCTCTGATATTTATAATATGCTTATAATATGCCAATGAATTGTTCTGATATGGACACGGTATAAAATTTTTTAAACAGATGTCTCAAAAGCGACTGTTTATAGGTCGTAGGATTAGCGCCTTGCCGGTCTTAAACGTGACACATTTGGACAGAAGCCAAATACACATTGAATGTCCATTTTATTGATTCTAAAACTCTTTATAGACATATTGCTCTAGCTTTTTTAAAAAGGTTATCATCGTTTATGTTAAACACCAGGAAGACAAAATATAAGGTACAAAATTGTTTGAAATCGACAGTGGGTGTCAGTGCACAGCTGACATACGACAATTCACAACTGCATGAATTTCCTTTTTTGTCGATCTGCACGAGTACCTGTTTGTTGAAGCCAAAATATTGCACAGCATATCCTATAAATTCTATCGCCATTTACCCTCCCCCCTTAAATGCAAAGGAATGACAGCAGAAAAGGTTTAGCAAAGTATTTTTTATTACATCTGGTATAAAGTGTCCTACGTTTTATCAGGATATACATAATTCATAAACTGTATATGCACACGAAGTTTCGCTTATTAATGAGTTTTACTGTAACAAA